TGGAAAAAGCCTAGCCTCAGATGGTTGCTTTCGCTTTTGTATATTGTAATATAGGCTGAAGGAGCTAAAGAAGAGCCTGCCACCTAAGAGCAGTAATTTGCAAAGGAAAGTGAGGCTTGCTTGCTGCAGGTGGGGAGTAAGGATCATCTAAGTTGTCTCAATATTACTTCTCTACTGGTACACCAGATCTGCTGGCTTACAGACAAAATTAGTTGTCTTAGCTTTCCAAGTTGTCAATTCTTTCATTTAATTTACTGATCTATGACACATAGGAATTTGATTTGAGGGACAGTAAAGATTGAAAAGTGAATAAAAAGTTCAGTTTTGCTCTATTTTTTTGTAATTTTTAAAAAAGCTATAGACAAACTGACAAGTATTGACATGATCCAATTAAATATATATCAGCATCAAATAGAAAATAATGAACAGAAAGATACTGAATGGATTATCTGGAGAGGAAGAAGGCAGGACATTACAGGCATGATTTTAATCATTTTTTCCCCTGACATGTTGTTTTGAGAATATGGCAATATATGTGGTCATAATACTTAAATTACTTTAATGCCTAAGTCTTAAAAATATTGGATGACTAAAATGTTAAAAGAAAAAAATGCAAACTGACTGTTGATTACATGAAAGCAACTGGGTAATTTATTCAAGGGGAAGCGAGGAGCAGAGGACCCAAATGTAATTTTGTGAAATACTTCTTATAAGAATTCTATTTCATTAATGCTTCAGTCTAGCACCACTGTCATGACTTTATTATTTAGGTTGCATTAGGTCAGAGACTGCTGTAACGTATAAGTATTTGCTCTTTGACCTCCCCAAGACTTATGACGCAAAGAAAATGCTGAACTTTTCCATCTAAGGCTATAATTTCATATAATGAACAATCAGGAAGCACAAGCCATATATTCTTTCAGCTATCTTTTTTAAGGGCTTAATTGTGAAGAGCTGAAATATATTTTTATTTAAAAAATGGTGGGGGGGGGGAGTTGGACTCTTCAATTGTTAAAACAAATGCAAGCCAAACATGAAATTTTTAAAAAGTGTTATCAACTACTAATTAGAAGCAAATGAGATTATCCATATAGAAAACATATTCCCAAACAATTCCTTTGGTGGAAATGTCACTGTGTTATGAAATTACAGAAGCTTAAACAAGTGATGTTTGTTGGAATAAAATTCACTGACAAATCCCTTCTAAGCAATCTTCTTCCACATTATCAGATTTCTTAGATGATGTGTTATACGGGAATCCTCAATCTTGTGGTGCACAGAGAGAATAACTCCTCTCTTTGCTCTTTCTTGGAAAATCATTAGTAATATAAAAAGAAATGTTTTTAAACACTGACTTTGCTTCAGGCTGCACATTGCCTTTGTGCCATCACAAGTAAGTAGCTTTCCAAAACGAATTTTTCAAAGAAACCAAACAGTACAAAGAAAAGGTAAATAACTCCATTAAGGCAATAAGGTACCCAGAGTAGGCCTGGTTTAAAATATAACTTATTTTTTCACATTAAACTTTTCAACCAAAAACTACTGTCCTTTTAAGGAAATAGGGGAAAAAAAAAACAATATATTCTTTGAGTACTCTGGAAAACTGAATACTTACATTTGTATATTTAGCACTTCATATATCTTGTAATGCCAACCCTAAAGGTATAGTCTGTGGCCACTAAGTTGAGCACACTATGTCAAAGGTAAAGTTCTTTTGTGAGATAACCGGGAACTTCGGGGTAACTAAAAGGGTACCTATCAGGGACACAAGTTAGAGCCCACACGTTTTCACCTCTCAGACTACCCACAAACACGCAGCTGAAATTGAAGAAGGGTAGTTTTAAAGCAAAATCACCTTGAGAAATCCATCTTTCCTGAAATGGCACTTTTCATATGGGATTATGTTAATGAATTCTTATTTATCCATAGCATCTTTTTAAAAATAGAATTATTTAATGGCTTGATAAATCAAGCTGGGTCTGAAGGAAATCCAATATGCAAATGCCGGTAGTGTGCTCTTTTACCAACAGTCACCCTTGTCAGTTTGAAAAACTGAAAATCAACAAAAGAACACTGTAAGTATACTTGACCTTATTGCCTAATGTCTATCAAGATAGCCACGGCTGGTCGATTTCAAATTTGTGAAACTGACACTTAAAAATGTATAGTGCATCTTCAGTCCAGGTCCCTCAAATGCTGACTAAACTGGAGTCAGAGCCTCAGATTCTCCTTCCATACTAACTTGCACAGCACCTTACAAAGGGAGTTTAATCGCACCATCAATCTACGACTACACTTTCCTTAAAGTAATTCTGCTTCATTTATCTTTTAACCCTATATTATGCAAATAACATCCTTATCAGTCCAATAAAAAAAGTTATTAATGTTCCTACTTGTTTATCCTTGACATACACTGAGAATCTGCGATCACATATGACTTTACACAAATACTTCTTTTGTTTCACATTTTATATGAAAAAATCACCTTATACCATCATAGTTTCAGAGAAGCTCTGTAAATAACGTTCTTGAAAAACTCCTCAATCAATGTCCATGGCTAACACTACAGCATGAGTCAATAGGTTAAAAACAAACAAAAACTTAGGGGACTGCCTACTTTTTTTTTTTTAATGTCTCTCTAGGAAGGGTTTGCATCTGCCGTACAAGGGTATCTCTTGGATATAAGAACAGTAATACAGGCCCCTAGTGGCTCAGCGGACAGCAGCAGATGAGGGGATTCCGATTCTCAGTTTTCCACTTGGAGATATTCTGGCTTTACATGAATGTCATTCTCAAAAGGCAAATCAAGTCATTGTATTTAATACTTTAATCAGTTTTACTTTCATGGTTATCTACCAAAATACATATATATTAAAGTAGATCACCACATTTCATTACTTTAATAACTACCACTGCACTGGTCCAGGAAGAATTTGTGTTACATAACCTCCACAATAAAATATTTAACATCCACCTCTTTACATGTCATTACAAAAAAGTGATATATAACTCAAATATATTAAGATATATTTGAGAGACAATTTTCCTCTTTGAATTTCATTCTTATTATACTTAGGATACTGAGGGCTTTAAGAACAGATAATTTCTAAGTAAAGTGCCAACTGTTTTAAATGAAATACTGATACAAACTGAAGGCCACTTTTAAAATAGTAGAAATCGGCATGTATTTCCCAACAACAGCCAGTGATAAAACTTACATTGGAGTGCACTTATTTTTAAAAGATGTACAATTAATAACACCCCTTAACCCTCATCCTCTCGTTGTCTTTCCTTTACAAAAGAAAATTCCAGGCAGGCACATTTACAGCTTTTAGCAATTTTTAACTGGACACAATCTGACAGCTGAATTCATGAAACTGACCAGCTTGTCAATTTCACACTTTGAAAGTACAATAATAGCTGATAGCATGAGGGTGAATTTTAAAAATCTGTCACAGAATTGCTAGCTCCATTGAAAAGCAAAGTACAGTACATAATTATGGGAGGTGGGAGGTAGGGAAATTTTCTTTCTATATCCATTTAGGATGTCTATTTCAAGAATTCGGACATCTAGCATTGAAAATTTATTCTTTTTGCTAAGTCAATAAAATAATATCTATCTGTGGCATATAACAGAATTTGCTTTCAAAATAAGTACAATATCTACTAAGCATTGTCCTGGATATCATCATATTACCAACATAACACAATCTTTAGGTAGGTATCATCTAAATCTTCTTTTAAATCAGTATATTTCAAGTCCTGGTACATCACCTTGGTTTTACTCAAGTTGAGTAGTGGGTGTGTACACTTTCATACAGACAGAATAGCCAAAATAGTCAAAAGTATGAACGGTTGGACTAACTCTGTGTTATTCGTGTTATATTCGTGTTATTACAGGATGGTTGGAAAGTACACATCAAAGGGAAATGTCCATGTCTGTAGCTCTGAAGTCCAACAGCAAATCTATCTCAAGTCATAAGCAGTTACTAGTCTCTAAGAGGCTCAAAATGAGTGTGCTAAGCTCTGTTAAGTCACTGCCACTGTGTCTATAGGCATCTATAAGAAAACAAACAAACAAACAAAAAAACTTTAAGAGAAAATACAGGAAGAGTGATCCCTCCGGAATCTTCTTGGGTGCTTAAGACACAAACTGTAGCTTGGTCTTGGGGGATCACTCTAAGAATTTTAGAAAACAGAGACATTAGGCAAGTCGTGTACTGGGAGGCGATCTGGAAACAATACAAGTAGATGTGATAGTCCCGGTTTTGGAGAATTGAACTACTATTCAGAACCCTAGAACACCCAATTAATGAAAGCCAAGCTCACACTTTAGTGTTCAAGAATTTTTTTTAAGCATAAGAAAACTGACTTCATTTGTTAATGCTTCTAAATGAAAATCAACCTCATAAACAATCCAAGTTTTCTACATGCCTACATAAAAGCTACAATAAATCGACGGAAAAGCCAAGAAGCTTTGGTTTGTTGTGGCTTTCTTTTTAAATTGTTTCCTACAACTTGGAGTTTTCATTATAAATTCTGCGTTCCCTTCCCTACGGAAGGAGTAAGAATAGCAGATTCCCGTAGCAGAACTAGGATCTTTGATTCTGCCATGGAAAGGTCTCCAAAACAATCCCCCTCCTCTATGGCAGCCGTGTAGACTTTGATTCCTGCTATTTCTCCTTCCCCCCACTAGTTCGGAGGAAAGAAAAAGAATTCGCCCCCTCACCATAACCAGCCCTCCTTAAAACAGTAATCACTGCCTCTTAAAAAAAAGAAAAGAAAGAAAAAAAAAAAAGAAAAAGATAGACACAGATACATGCAGAGGCAGAATCCCTCCTGGGTAGGGTCGGATTGCCCCACAGCTCCTCCATAGCCCCAATACTCTACCCACCCTAAGAGGAGAGAGCGGGGGTCGCACAAATACACATACACAAACACCCTCATTCTCTAGATTTGCCACTCTCCCTTGGTCTGAGGTTTTAAACGACAAGCGAACCATGCAGGGGAAGACCTCTGCCCAAGGAGGTTCAGAAGAGCAAACTGTGTGCGCTCCGGAGCCCGGGCGCTGGGCTCGCGGACGCGGGAGTGGGAAGCCCCGGCCCGGTAGGAGCGGGCTGCCGGAGCCAGGCTCAGGGCAAGCCCCTGGTGCAGAGAGGGGAGGGCACAGGGGGGCGGACCGGGTCACTCGGGGACTTACCTGGTCATGTTGGCTCCGGGCAGCCGCCGCCACCGCCTCCCGCGCCGCCACCAGCACTTTTCCCCAGCGCCTTCGCGCCCCGCCACGGCCGCGCAGCCCGCTCCTGCCCAAGCCTCCGCCTTTGGGCGGCCAATTTAATCCCGCCGAGCTGCGGCCGCCGCCGCGGGAGTCCCCCCAGTCGCTGCCGCCGCCCGGCCCTCGAATGGCCAGCCCAGTCCAGAGCGAGGAAGTGGAGGAGAGTCAGCGAGTGAGTCCAAAAACCCGAAATCCAGCATCCAGAGGAGCGCGTCCCCCCGCCCTCCCTCCACCCCTACCCCCTTCTCCTCCTCCTCCGCCTCCTCCTCCTCCTCCTCCCGGGCCGTCCTCCTGGCCCTTCTGAGCCGGAGGCTTCCGCGGCGGTTTCTCCTCCTCCCGCTCCTCCTGCTCGCCCTGCGCTCGCTCCGCAGGCTGCTGCCGCCGCCGCTATGTCTGCTCTCCCTCCTCCTCCTCCTGCTCTTCCTCCTCCTCCCGCTCCTCGACGCTCCGCTGCTCGCGGCTAGGGGGTCCGGGGCCGGGTCTCCTCTCCTCCCTCCTCTTCTCTCGTTTCCTTCTTCCTGCCGCTGCTTCTTTTAAAGAGGATTCTTTGGCCACAAATAGCAACTCGGCTGCCCCCCTCAGCGCCTCCCTTCCCTTCGTCGCTTCTTCCCCCCAAAAGTGAAGCGCACGCGAGAGGTAACCAGAAACTGAGGCCGGCGGGGAAAGAAGGGAGGCAGGGGAGAGGAGGCGAGGCGAAGCCTGGAGACCGGCCCGAGCGGAGTCAAGAGCCAGGAGGTGGGATGGCCAGTCCAGCCCAGTCCTTGGACTTGGCGTGAACCTGGTGGTTATGGTTGGAGGCGAGGTGATTTGGTGGGGAAATTAAATGAAAAAGCTCGGGAAAGTGATTGGAAAGCTTCTTTCTTTGTTTCCTTGTCTGGGTGATTTCTAAAATCCTCGTAACCGTGCTGGGGATCCCACGGAATCGCGGTGCCCCCGCGCTGGGAGATTGTGTGTGCGCGTTGCCAGCGTGAGAGTGTGAGTGTGGGTGCGCCCAGGCGCAGGGAGAGCCAGGCCCGCTGCGCCCGCTGGCGAATCCCTGAATCTGGACCACTGACCCACTGAAGGGGCCGGAGAGCCGGACGAAGGAGAGACAGGCAAGAGAGCTGGGTGAAGGAGACGCACACCACACACACACACACACACACACACACACACACACGCGCGCGCGCGCGCACACACACACACACACACACACACACGCAGAGGAGGGGGCGGGGTGACGTCACTCCCCAGCATCCATCCACCAGGCCAGAAAAGACCCCCTCTAACAAATTCACTCATCTCCTAAGAGATGCACACCCGGGTGCCTCCTGCTCTCCTGCTCTGCACCCCGGCACACTGGAGAAAAAAAAATGCTGATCGCGCCCCCATTCAAAGCAGTTATAATAATATAAGGAGCGCGTTGATGAGACCGTTTGTGTCCGCCTCAGTTCACCTTGGCAGTCTTATTAGGGGATGCTCGTAGGATCTACTTTGGAGTCAGAGAGGAAGAAAGGGAAGTATCGAATCATCCTTAGTGGGATAACTCTTGTCTTGCTTCCATGCTACTTGCTTTTTAGGATGTTGGAAATTCACTGCTCCCCACTTCTCTGAAGAACACCATAAATCCCCCTCCCTAGACATGCACTCAGTCGTTCCCCTACACAAGCTTCATCTGTGAACCCTTCATCCACAGAACACACTGGATGGATTGTTAGCTCACAGGCACATTTTAACCTTCTTCACTCCTCCTCACAGGATCTCCAGCATGTGGAAAAAGTCAGCAGCTGGAAGCCACCACTGGCAACTGGCCTACCACAATTTTAATAGAAACTTGGTCAGAAAGGTTAAATAAAGTAAAGGCAGGGCCTCCAGCCACCTCCCTTGCTCATTCTGCACTCAGGCCAGCACATACACACAATACTTATCCCTGCAGGCTGGAGGCTGTTTTTGAAAGGGCAAAGGTAAGCAGACCTCTTAGGTTCGGACTAAAGATTTGGCATCCTGACTGTTGTCTCAAGCTGCCCATTTGTTCCCACCATCTGCACGCTGTACTCCTGAAACACACTGAAGGATTGGTCAGTAATCCTCTGCCCCTTTTGTGCTCCAAAAAGAAGCCACATATTTTTGCAAGGAGTCTTGCTAAATTAAGTTTAGTTTTCCAGCAATTTGGGGAGGAGGGATCATTCTGGCATGACTCTTCCTTGTACTTTTTTTTTTTTAATGGATAGCCTTATAGTAAAAAGAAGAACTTTCTATCTGTTCAAGGCACCCCCAGAGCCAGGTGTACCCTCCAGTCTTTCTGATGACATGAGGAACTGAAAGACTGAACAGGTTATGATGGGTCCCTGCCCCTGTGCCCTAAGGATGGATTCCGAAATCCAAGCCTCCACACAGGTGATTCTCACTCAAGGTGTAAACTGATTTGTCTTTCTCATTGTCACATCCTCCTCCATAAACTGGCAAGCCCCATTTTCCTCCTGCAAAGTTGGATGTCCGAGGGGGGAAAAAAAAACAAAGTTTTAAAAACCCTAATAATCCTTTTATGTTGCATTTGGTGGAGAGACACTCATCCCTCTGCCACTTTTAAGGAAGTCTGACCAGATCTGACCTGATTTTAAAAGATGGCTGCTGGGAAGTCTGACTACCATCTGGGAGTGTAGTTAAGGAAATAACCTACCCCACTGGTAGCCAGTTAGACTACCTACAGAATGTAGCAATGATCATTACCAACATGAGCAAGAAACAGGTAGCAAAATGATCCAGAAAGAAGAGGAGACAAAGAACAGTATTAGTAAGTGAGATTAGCCCAAGGACTCTACTTTCCTGACACCAGAAGGTCCTAGATGCTCCTGTCCCACAGTAAAAAAAACATCTCGGAGAAAGAAGTAGCAATCGGAGAAGGTGACTATCGAGTCTGAGCTATTATTGTACAAGATCCAGCATTATTCAGGGCAATGCTGCTGAGGATGAAGGGATCAAGGAAACAGAGGAGCCAGACTCTGTGCACATCTGAGCAGCAGTGGGCTAAGGCAGCCACCCCATATACAAATATTAATTCATTCACAGTAGATTTGTAACAAAGCAACACTGTGGCCTCTCATATAATCTCTGGGAGTGTTTATTGTTCGGAGATTTGAAGTTGAAGAACATCAGAGGTGAGATAATCATCTGTTGATATCACCTAATTTTACAGGTAAGGAAACTGAATCCTTGAGAGTTTAAGGTTACCCAACTATTTGGTGGCAGAAGCAGACCCCAAACCCAGATATCATGACCCAGTGTCACCCTGCCCCCAACTCTTCCTAGTGACCTCCCAGTTCTAGATCAGTTTTTTCCCACTTATCAATGAGCAATAAATATAGAATATTTTAAAACTATACTAAAGTGAAGAAAAATGAAGAAATGGAACTAAACATTTTCTTAGTTCTTTTGCTCTTATGTTCTGTCATGAATAGCACACAGGAACTTTGCTATAGCACAACCCCCTCTAGTGCATAATTCAGCATACAATGAGTATGAGTCTATTTTGGACCCCATCCAAGGGAGTTAGTTCCTAGAAGGACTTGAAAGATTTTATTCTCATCTATAATGAAACATCCTAAAAAGACTAAAAATAATCATAACGACAATGATAGTAATCATTTGTTACTCTTATATTACATACTAAACATTATTCTATTCCAGTGTTTTCAAAAGGTTCATCATGACCTTTTGTGGGTCACAAACCTAGTAGGTCGTGAACAATTTTTTAAACAAAAGAAATGAAAGTAGAAAAGAAAAGAACGAAGAGTGCATTATATACACTAAATATTGTTCTGTAAAACTTGTGTTTCGATCATGTGGCTAGAGATTAAAAGTTTCAAGGCTGATGCCTTGCCTCCAGTCTTAACAATTGCCTTGGTAGTTAAGTATAATTAGCCCCATTGTACAAGTGAGAAAACAGGATCCGAGACGATAATTTGGCCAGACTGACATAGCTAACAAGTGGCCAAGCTAGAATTTTAAACCTATATTGGCTTGACTTCAAATCGTGTGTTTTTACTTCTATTCTGATTACACATTGTTAACCAAGGAATCAAATACTTGTTGTCGATAATATTTTCTTTGTAAGAGCCGTTTTTTTTTTTTTAATTCAGTTAGAATGGAGAAACAGGACATAAGTTCAAGTGACATGTTCTGAAGATAGTTTCATAAGGTAGTGAAAAGAATATCTGAGATCTCTTCCTATAGTTGATAGTTATGTCCAATATACACAATTCATTTGTGGCTAAATGCACAAATGGAATAATAATTAATGGTTGGGCGCCTGGGTGGCTCAGTCAGTTAAGTGTCTGCCTTTGGCTCAGGACATGATCCCAGGGTTCTGGGACTGAGCCCTGCATTGGGCTCCCTGCTCCTCCATAGGGAGTGTGCTTCTCCCTCTGCCCCTCCCCCCAACTCATGCTCTCGCCCTCTCTCTCTCTCTCTCTCTCACGTGTTCTCTCTCTCAAATAAACAAAATCTTTTAAAAAATAAAAAGTAATAATAATTAATGGTTTTAATCTTCAAATAACTATTCATCTCTACAAGGGTTAAAATGTTTGAGAGAGTTTTTCAGTTTAATTCATACAACAGTTTTCAGTAGCTTACTTCTTGTTCCAGACACAGAACTGTTACATGAGAGAGATGAAACAAAGAGATATTAAATATAGTCACTAAACAATAGTTTGATTCATTTGGGAACACAGGATCTACACATGTGAAATAATCAGAATACACCATAGTTCCATCTAAATTGTGAAGAAGAAAGGAAGACAGTAATTCAGATGCCATGCTGATTTTTGGATTCATATGGTCCTATGCATTCTAACAGTAACATAGCACGTTTAGATGCTGTTAGTCCCATTCTTCAGATTTGGAAGCTCCTATGCAGAACTAGTTGGTGATTGAAATGAGAGTCTAACCCTGGTCTTTCTGATTCCACTAATGAACGTCTCTTTACAAACAAGGGGGTTTCCAGTAGACAAAGCAGTGGCTAGATATTTTGAGACATGCTATGCAAATATTCACATTTTTCTCCATATGAAAGAAAGGCACTTTCTTTTTCTCCAGGGCAGCATTTCTTGTTGCTGTCAGGCAGCAGTGTTCTCTTAAAGAAAAGAAATCCAGGGCGCCTGGGTGGCTCAGATGGTTAAGCGTCTGCCTTCGGCTCAGGTCATGATCCCAGGGTCCTGGGATGGAGTCCTGCATCGGGCTCCCTGCTCCTTGGGAACCTGCTTCTCCCTCTGCTTCTCTCTCTCCCCCCCACCCCCGCCCCGTCTCTCATGAATAAATAAATAAAATATTAAAAAAAAGAAAAGAAATCCATATTTTTCTCTAAAGAAGGCCTAGAAAAGCCAGGCCGTCTACCCTGACTCTGTTCAGTTTGGCTGCTGCATTTCACCCTCACCTGCAGTGTGTAGAGGACGTTATGGTACGATGCTATTTTCCATTGGCTCTGCTACTGGAGATTACGGCATGCGACTGTGACAAATGGATATTCCCATTAAATTCTTTAGTAGAGTGGGGCATTCCATTAACCATTGGCACTATCCCAACCCAAGTGAAACATTGGGTCATTTTTTTCTTGTGAGCAAGAAATGGAGGGGGAAAACAAAGGATATACTCTAATTACCTTTCTTCCTTTTTTTTTTTGTTGCATGCATTATGATAGCTGTATATTACAATTATTTATAATTAATATATGACAAGCTGTCAGCTAAAATTTAACAGGTGATTTGTCAAGAAGTCCCATTAACTCATACATTAAGCAGTG